TTTCCTTTTTTTTAGAGCTATAAGTTGATTTCAATAAAACAATAGTCCACTGTTTTTTTCCAACACTAAAACAAAGTACATGATAATGGCTACAACCACGTCTGAAGCCGTATGATTCTGCCACCTTCTCCATGATCTTTGGCAAGAAAAAACCTTAAAGAATGCCATTGTCATTTATTATAATAATCAATCTATTATAGTAATAATAGATACAATAAAATTTGATTCTTATACTAAGTATATTGCCATTTTTTATTAATTTTTTAAGCAACTCGCAAGTAAAAAAATAAAATCACATTTGCCTAATATCCTACTAATGATATGCTAGCTGATTTGTTTACAAAATCTTTGTTAAGTCCAAAGCTAGCCCTTCATTATTTAATAAAGACGGAGTTAGTGCCAAGTCTTTACATAGACTATTGTTAATTAAAAAAAGTACAAGGAAAATCTTTATCAAATCTTTACATAGAGTATTGTTAATTAAAAAAAGTACAAGGAAAATCCAAGCTATAAAAGACAACTCATATTCAAATTTTGACATGATAAATTGTCTTTGCAATAGAAAACATTATGGTGGCAATAGCAACATCCTAGATACACACACACATACATACATATAGATATATATATATATATATATATATATAAGTGACATAAAAAATAAACATTAAAATGATAGACAAATCTTCATGTTAAATCATGCACTAGTTGCATGTTGACAAAAGTTATTATGAAATCAAACTATAAAGTGCATACATTAATAGAGACTTTGTATATATATATATATATATAAAATTCTATGTATAAAAAAAAGAAATCTTGAATAAAAATAGAATTTTTACATGTCTAGATTCAAAAGATAGTAATATATATATATATATATATATATATAAATTAAAAGAAAAAAATACTGTATAGAAATTTATCCAAAAGATATACTATATAAATATAAATATAAATATATATATACTATGTAAAAAATTATATAGAAAAAATCAAAATTTCCAAATTTTAAAAATAAAAGATAGGATATTTTTTTATGTATTTTTTACTAAAATAATAAATTTATAATAGAAATAAAATAAAAATTAAATTAAATTTTTAATAAAAATATCTTTTAAAAGATAGTATTGTAATTAGTTCAAAGAAGTTGATATGCAAAAGATATGATTAAAGTACATATTTATTGTTTTTTTTAAAGGTTGAATTTTTATAACTTATCAAAAAAACAAATTAATCTATTAATGCTTGTAATATTTTAATATTTTATTTAATTATTAAAAATTTGAATTATCAGTTTTAATTTATTTAATTTTTGCATGTTAAGAATGATATTATCATTTGTTGTGAATATTTTTAAAAAAAATTTATTCTTATTTTTAATTTTTCTTAATGATCTGTACAATTCAGATCTTGTTTTTAAGTTTAATTTAATTTTTGAAAATTTCAATGTGTAGCAAATACACAGTGGAATATTCGGAGATCCTCTGACTATTAAATGAATGTTTGAATTTGATGTTTTTTAGTCTTTTAAACAAGCTAATCTGATTAAATCTATTAATGCTTTATTGTATCAATGTTAGAAACCAAAAATTTAGCAATAAAGAAACATGTAGAATACAACTATTTTAGTATCCTAACTTCACACTTAATGACAAATTTTTTTTCTTTTAAATGTAACAAATAATTTATATATTTATCTATAATAAAAATGTGTAATTTTTATAAGAAGAAAATTTAAAATTATAAAATTATGAAATATATAAAGTAAAAAAATTTATAAAAATTAGAAATTTTATTTTAAATATTTATTTTTCTAAATTTTAAAAAATATTGCTCAAATCTAATAGATTTTTAAATCAAAAATTTATGTCCAAGTTTGTGTGGCTTATTAATGTATACGAAAAAAAAATTAAGAAATTCTAAAAATTAGAACTTTTAAATAATAAATACTTGAATTTTTATATTATAAGTTTATTTAGTTAATTTTTAAAGATAAATTATATTAAAATTATATTAAATAATATAGAAATCACTTAAATTTATAAATTCTTACAAATAATTTTACATCCACTTTGGATAAAATATTACATATTGAGAGTTAAAGTTATAATTTTTCTACAATTTATAAATATTGGAAAGATTTAATTGAATTAATTTAAGATTTTATTCCGATTTATTAGGATTCTTGGTTGGTTACCAAATATTACATATATAATATTTTTATAATTATATTTCTATTATATAATTTATAATAGAAACATTTAGAAATATTTAGAAAATATAATTATAATAAAAAAAACTATCTTATTTTATTATATTTAATTATAATATTATAAAAATTAAAAATAAAAATAAATTCTTAGAAATAAAAAATATAATAAATATCTTATTTTCATATTTTTATATAAAATTTATAAATTAATTTATATTTAATATTATAAAATTAATTAATCTATATTTTAATTTAATATATAATATATTAATACTATTATCATATTATTTAAAAATATAAATATATACTTATTTATTTTTTAAATTACTTTACAAATATTAATTATTATTTAATATATTATTATAAATCTAAATTTATTTCCATTAAATTTTAATATAAATATATTTTTAAATTATATTTTGATTTTTACTTTGACTTTTGAAATAATTTTATACAAAACAAATTACAAAATGTAATGTATATAATATTAGATGTTAATATAAATTTAAGTTTCCAGAAGTAAGTAATTTTTTTTGATATATAAAAAATATTTAGACTTATTGATTTGTTGATAAGTGATATGTTAGGAATGTAGTAATCTATGCCAGAGTATATTGTGAAGCATGAAGCCACCATAGGTGTGAGACTTAAGTTTTAAATCTTAAAAAAGGTCTTGAAACGAGTGTTTAAAAAGAATTTTGGAGGTCTTTGACTTCCTATTAAAGCCCTATTGTATTTAAGTAGTCCAAAATTCTAAGAAAATTCATCTTTTTCAAGTTGAGTCTTTGAAGAGAGAGAGTTTGAGTGTTTAGCTTCTCTTATTATAGATTAGCACTATTTTCATAACATTTATACATGGCTTAATTTATTATATTTATAATAGAATTTTCATATTACATTGGAATATTTTCTATATATTATTACTTAAAAAAGTTCCTACTATGTGTCTAATACAAATATAGTTGATTTTGGTACTTTGTTTAATCAAAACTTACGTTTTGATGTATTTTGTGGAAGTTAATGAATGCTAGAATTTATAGGATTTCAAACTCATTGGCACCATAGCCTTCATTTATTAACTTTAGAATATATAAAATATACTTAAATATCTTGTATTAATGACTCATTATTCATCCCGTTCATCATATGTGCAACTGAGTTAGTGGCACCTTGAGAAAGAGTACATATTTTAACTAGCCTAAGTAGTGTTTTCATTGTTGTCATGTTTCTACTCCCTTTTGCATGTTGAAATTGGTCATAGTATGAATACAAATCACCCATTGAATAGATTGTCCTTCTTGCAAATTTGCTTCCACAAATTCATCTACTATTGGTCCAATTCTTGCATTCTTCATAGTCATTGCATTCACTAATTGCATATCTTGAATAAATCATAATGATCCATTTTTTTTAGGCACTATAAACCATCGACTAGGATATGGTGCAAAAAAGGGCTTCAAAATCTTTATCTTCATCTTTTCTTTCAATAATTCTATCAAGCTTAGTAAATGTGCCCTTAGCTCTAAAATTGGCTTCAAATTCTAAGATACATGTGGTATAGTGAAAATAACCATAGGCATTATAATATTTGGATCCACACACCTAATTTCATGACATTCAAATGCAAATGATTTACCTTGTTTTGTTAACATCTTTTTGAAGTACACAATTTCCAATCTCCAATTCTCCAAAAGTCTCTTTAGTGAACTTGTGTTCAATATTCGTTAGATCTCTTAGGCTTTTTTCTTCTAATGCTTCTTCTATCTATTCTTTAGAATCTTTTGGCAAAGGTCTTGCAACGGGTTTCACCTTCTATCCACTATCTTATATTTTGTTTCAACATAAAAAAATTCTATGTAAATCAGGCAATAAAAGAGTTTCTATAGCCTAGAAGGTAAAATTACTAACCAACCTTTAATCTATTAGCTATTAAGATAAGAAAATAAATTAAGATGCTTTTTATAAAAGCCATGTTTGATTGTGTTAAATTATTATTGAACCAAGATGATTAAATATTGATTAGAAATTTATATTTGATTATATTTTCACCATATAATCAATGCATTTGAATCATTTGTTACTTATAAAAATAATATTATAATTAAAACAAATGTTATGCTTGATGCCATTAACCATTTGGAGCCTTAAATGAAGTATGACAAATTTTTCAATCCAAGTTATCAAATTGCTTACAAATTTTTTTCTAAAATATGTAAAATAATATATTCATGACTATCATTACTCAAAATTGTTATTTAAGTTTTAAGAGTATTTTTGACAAGCAAACAATCTTTTAAAAATGATATTTGAAGTTATTAATTATTGATTTGGTTTAAATAGAATTTTTTATGTCATCTCTCTCTTTTTTTTTTAAAATTTAGATTACAAATATTCATAGTTTTAATACAAGTGGGATGTTTTTGAGATTTAGAACTTCAAATGTCATTATCAAATGAAGAATTTCTTATTATTAACTCTCATTTTTTTATTCTATTTATGACATTCATAAGATGAGATAAATTTTTATAAGTAGGAATTAATGCCTTACTTCTATTCCTTATCTTTTAAATTAAAAATATTTCCAAGTAAGAAGTCTTTTTATAAAACAATAAGTATCCATCAGCTGAGGTGGAGGTGATTGGAATCATCAAATCCGTCATGATGTCAATACTTTGTAAGTTAAATGAGCGTGCATGCAAATTGAAAGGAGTGGGTCTTACGGCCAACTTCAGGGTTTATTCCGTCAAGCTCCGTAGAAGTAGGCAATGTAACATTCAATGTAAGATTCCGTGAAACAGTGTTGTTGCTTCATTGTTGAAAGGACTGTGACCATGAATGTTGGTACAAAGAGAAATATCGCTTGTATTTCAGCACAAGAGTACGGGAGGTTGTACATCCGCTATTTTGCTTCTAGATATTGCTTTAAGATGGGCAAGACTAGCACCCAGTATCAGTAAGAATTCATACATGACCTCTTAGAAGTTACTTTACCGACTTTTGTATTTCCCAGCCTCCGTTTGCTGAAGACCAAATGATTTAGCATAATCAACTCCAATAGCACGACGCCTTTCTTCCTCAATCTTCCAAGCTTCAGTTTTCTGGTTCGCCTATTAACACCACAAAGCAGTCACGAATAAGAGCAGCAATAACGGACAAAAACTAGCCCCCACGTACACAAAATCTGCGCATGTGGCCGTTTTACCCAATGAAAAAATAGGATCATGGGAAGCAAAACCTTAATTCATCTAGCGACCTAGCAACATCCCATACAATGGGAGAATATGTACCCAAGACTTGAGCGGTTCAAGTGTGTTCTTCATTCGCTCTACGCGTGGTGTAAAATAATCTCGTCCTTTTGTGCGAATGTCGTCAAACTGGTGACAAACGAAGTCTGATGTGAGTGTAAGACATTAAAAGCACCCCCATTCAAATTTATCAAACTAAAAATATAAGAAAATTATTTCTACGACAATAATTTCAAGAAAAACAAAACAAACCAACAAAACAAAACTTGGCGTAATCAACGTTAACTCCATGACTAAGATCAAGATTGATTGCCGGTACATATGAGGAACTTCAGAATGGAAAAAGCATACACTGAGATTGAATATGATTGTGCGCTCAATATGTACAAGTCCAGTCATCATAAGAGATAAAAACACACTAACGCACGCTCAAGGTCCAAGATGCAGAAGAGGGACGAACGTCATCAGTGCAGCACATTCACAAGAAGGAGCGCGACCCCTAAAGTATTGGGTTGAGGGTTCTGAGACCTATGATCCGATATCTAAGCGGCCGGGGTAAAGAGAATAGCAGGAGAAAAAATTCTCATGTCCATACACTCACATCTATGTAAGTGATACAGAGGTGAGTGTATGTGTCAATATGAAGGAGTGTAAGCAAGGAAAAGGCAGAACTTAATCATCAGAGAAAGTGCAACAAAAACCTTACCGATTTAATATCATGCTTAGAAGCTGTTACAGCTGCTGCAATGATACTGCCTCCAAAAACTAAACCTGTGGCCACTGCGAATGCTTTCGTCACTGTTCTGCCAAGAAAGACGATACGCCAGTTACCAGAGAGTCACCATCTGTCATTTGGATCTATGTAATACATTATGCCACAAAGAACAAATCTTTAAAAAATGCATAAATGAATAAAAACTCAAGATAATACAATATCATAAATGTCAGTAGTTCCTCACACTAAGTTTCAGGACAACTATGTAGTAAACGTGAAAGGTGATCACTGTACCAACGAATAAGCCTTCCATCGCTGCCTTCTCGTCCATAACGGAAGCTTTAGCAACCCGAGATTCATTGGCTGTCGAAGCTACCATTTGAACATCTGGTGCATCAATCATCCATCTGTCAAAATCAACACCAATATTAAAATGAAGAATTCTCCTGTTTACAGAAGAGCGCCTAGAATTCCTTCTTGTGAATGTGCTGCACTGATGACGTTCATGGCGGCCATGGCATTTTACATGCCTAGAGCGGCTATGGCGGCCATGGCGTTTCTAATTTCATAAAAGCAATAAATAAGCAATTTCAAATCTGGGAGTAATTTTTCTTTCTTAGATTTGAGTAGTAACCACACAAGAGATTGTTACATCGCCCATGTGCACGAAATGAAGTTCAAAAAAAGGACTCACTTTTTTCGACCTAAAGAGGTCTGTGGAACACTTGCAAAATGATCCACGACCTGAATGGATGGAAATCCCGTCCGCACGGCCCCATCTTGACTCAGTGGCCGCGGGCTTAGAATTGATTTCAATGATGTCGCAAGTGACGATCGTGCAGGAGCTGATGCTACATCGACAGCTTGAAGCGCTTCTGTAGTTGGTGCAATTGGAAGCGAGTGGCGGAGAACTTCAGGAAGAACATCAGCCCGGGACAGTTTCAAAACAGATTCAGAATTAGATGTTTCAGAGACGGAATTAGGTGGTGTTGAAGTCTTTAGCTTCTGCTTCAGTGCAACCGCAGCTTGTTTCGAGTGTTGATTGAAAAACGCCCCCTCGGTGGCTGCTAATCTGCCCGCCAAAAAACTCATCCTTTCACAAGAGTCAACCTGCATAAACTAATAAAAAGGTCATCATCAAGTCATTGAATTCATCCACACACTGTCCTGTAAAACCTAAACCACGCCCATGATGAAAATAAATAAACGATTGCAAAAAAAAAAAAGAAAAAAAGAAAAAGAAAAAAAGAGACAGAGGAATTGTAATACAAGACCTGCAAATATGAATGCAAAAAAAAACGTGGACATCCAAGACTCAAAACCACACTACTTCAACGGACATATACCGAGCACTTGATTATCTCAAATTGAACAAATTACTTTCACGGAATCCTTCTATGACATCACCTAACTTGTACAAAAACTCAATTATACACAATACAATCGGCACTCAAAATTTTAAAGACTCACTCCACCTTACAAGAAATCCTCAACCAAAAAGTGCACAACCGAATCGCTCCAACGATTACAAAACGGAATTCATACACAATTTGCGAAACTTAGGTCGAAGAGGACTCACAACTCGAGAAACTTGACCATCAGCGTTCATAAAAAACACAAACACAGCGCTGAATGCAACTATGAATCCCTGTCGACCACAGGAAGCATGTAACTCAGAGACTCCACCACGTATACAACTGCTATGGTTAACCGAAAAAATGAAGACTTCTGAACAGAAGCGTGAAATTCGAGCAAACGTGCAATTGAACCTACCAAATTAGGGTCGCAAGCAGCGTGAGAGAGAAGATTGATGGCGTTGGAGTCTGTGGTGACAAAGATTCATCGCCGCTGCAGAAATTGGAAACGCCATGGCCGCCATAGCCGCGAAATTTCTGAGCGGCACCTTTTGTAGCTCCTTCGGAGCACAATGGTGCGAGATGGCCTGCGGATGAACAGAGCCAGCTATTTTTGGATGAAACGCTACTTGGATGAATTGTGGACATTCGTTATATAGATGGGTTTCGTGGATGTCGGTTGGATGTCGGATGTAATAGTGTATTATGGATGAATTATTTTTATGGATAGGAAACGGATGAGGGAATGGATGAAGGGATGTGTTCTTTATTCTAGTGGTGTCAGCTGCTTGAAATTTTAACATTGTGGAAACTTTTAGGGTTTTATTTTCTTATTCATGGCAATATTATATATGTAATCTGTAAGAAAAAATTACATTCTGGAACATTTGACTGAATAGTTTGATGGGAGAATATAATTTGTAAAATTACTAGATTTTTTGTGGATTTATATATAAATTGTATAGGATGGTTTGTAGAAGAGAATTGGTAATAATATACTAAAAGGTAGAAAAATAAACCCATAAATTTCTATGTATATACATTGCTTTTATAAAAAAATATATATATTTATATATATAGAAATAATTTACAAAGATGAACCTAATTTTTTTAGATAAATAAATATTTGTGTGATTATTTCTAAATTTGTGGCCTATTTTAGTTGCAACATGTGATTAAGAAAGACCTTCCAGTTTCTTTATTTCTTTAAAACTCGTAAGAGGGTCTTTCTTTTTGTTAGTATAAAATAGAGATGAATTTGAATATGGAGGAGCGTAAGGCTTAACAAAAGAAGCCCAAACCATCCGAACTCAAGAATGCATGGTTGAAGAAATATCAAATGAAAAGATGGTTCACAAGGATACAAAGATACTTATTTATGCTGATAACTACAACTTTGAGTGTGGTAAAGAAGGGAAGGTGGATTATTATCATTTATTTTGGACAAAAGTGAAGCTTCGAGAACTTGAAGATATGATTTTAGCTTTGATTGTTCATGACTCTGAGAAAAAAATCATGTCTAGGAGAATTTTTGATAGAAAAAAAATGGTCTATTGATATCACCCAAAAATGGATATTCAGAGTTTCAAATAATACGGAAGATATGTGAATAAGGGTTTTTAATGGTACTTTAGACCACTAATATAATACATAGAAGAAATTTTCTTAAAGATAGTTTGAGTCAAATATAGTTACAATAATACAAAATAATGAAACATATATATATATATATATATATATATATATTTTATGAGTAAGATGGAGCTATCATTAGAATTTCAATAGCAGGAAAGACGGTAGAGCTTACAAGAGAAGAGATAGCCGGTTTCAAATAGAAGACCTTGGAGAATTCTTACCTCAACAATTGGACCAAGAACATGAAGAGGAAGATGCAAAAAGAGATAAAGATAAAGAGAACAGAGATAGTAAGGTTGGCACATGCGAGAAGATGTGCACGTTTGGAGGGGGTGGATGTCATATTATAATTGCTTATAGTATGTAAAAATTAGTTAGAATATATAATATGTTCATAAGTCTTGGTGTATGTTAGAATGGTTAATAGATTAATTTAAAGAGAATGGATTTAAGAAACTTTATTTAGAATTTTATCTTTTTGGATTATAGCATTTAAAAAAATTATAAGACCTAAATGTTTAGTATAAAGCCTTGAGAGGAGATTAGAGCCTAAAGAAGAAAATCTTAACTAGTAGGAGGATTATAGGGAGAGATGAAAGCAAGGAATGGTTGAATGAAGGCAAGGAATGGGGATCTTCATTCATATTGGTCGAAGGCCATACCCAATGGGCTTCAAGGAGGCTGCCCGATGCCTTATTAGGGATTCTTTTGAGGTCATTCAAGCTTTAGAGGCTAGGATCAGCAAGTTCAAGGTTTTGGGTATAATTTGGATGAAGAGTTTGTGTGATTTCGAGTTTTTGTGAAGGAGATATAGGTGTTCAAAGTTGAGGTGTCAAATTTGTACCTACTGTCACTCTTTGAAGCATAACATATGCGTACAAAGAGCAATGACAGATCGGCAACTGAAGTTGAAAAGAAAACTTTCTTGGCTACACTTTACATATATTATTTGACGAATTCCAAGTCTAGATGAAGGAGTTATAAGACATTGAAGACAATACATGTAATTCAAAGGCAGTAAGTGAGTCATTTTGTTGATAGTAATGGTTGGAGCCATATCTTGAGTTTTTGGACGAATTTTTGGTTCAAAATTTTCATAAGTGTGATTTATTAGATTAAAAATCTATAAATCAAATTTTTATGATATTTGAGTACTTATTTTGTGAGATATGAAGAAAATAGCATGTGGATGTTTGTAAGCTAGGATTTAAAGCTATTGTTAGGGTTTTGGTGATATCTCAAGATTCGTAACAAATTTATAGTTGCATTTTTTTGCGGTAGTTTTTGAAATTATATTAGTAATTTACATAAAATTTTAGGTTGTTTGAATAGTTTGATCGTGAGATATGAGCTATTGAGATTCAAGAAACATTTTTCATAAGGATGTGTAAGGTTTTAAGATACTTTATCATACATTTGGATGTTTTCTTGATACTTGGGCTTATGTATTGATGTCATTGATCTAAAAGAAAAAATATTATATATATAAATTTAATACTTTTATATCTTAGACTTGATTGAGTATTTAGTGGTATTGAAGAAACACAATAAACAAGACAGAAGTAATTAGAAATCAGCAAGGTTAGACACAAGAGAAGTGTGGAATGAGATATTTCTCACTTCCAATACCCTTTACTTATAGGTAGAGGTTACATCCATTTTGGCTAGTATTCAACTTATTTTCATGTAACTAAACCCTAGATTCCTTTTAACCTAGCCACCACTTTAAATCCTAGCCGCCACTTATAACCGTAGCCGCCACTTAAAATCCTAATCACCACCTTGATAACTTTTCTTTATCCTTTTACTATCTTTTGACCATTAGCAACTTATCTAAGATAATATCTTTTACCTTCTAACTTATCTTCCATTTAATTTAACACTCTCACTTTGCTATTGGTCAAAGGCTAATAAACCTAATCCCTTTGTCAATTTGTAATGTCTATCTTTTACTAATGCTTTTGTGAGTATCATGTCTCAATAAGCATGTCTTCTATTGCACAATATTTCATGTCAATTATTCCCATCTCAATCTTCTCCCATATGAAGTGATGTTGAATGTCAATGTATTTTGTCGTTGAATGATGCTTTGGATTCTTGACAGAAGCAAGGCATCTTTGATTATCACACTTCATTGGAATTGCTTCCAATTGCATAAGTCCAATGTCTTTTAAAACTTTTCTTAGCCATATTGTCTCCATTGCACCATAACTTGCTGCCATGTATTCTGCCTCCATTGTAGACCTTGCTATTGTTGGTTGTCTCTTACAATTCCATGAAATTGCTCCTATTCCAACAAAGAATACATATCCTGTTGTTGACCTTCTATCATTTGCATCTCCAACCCAATCCGCATCACAATATCCATACAATGTAATACTATCACCTCCAAGACACAATTTGAAGTTTAAAGTACCTTTTAAGTACCTCAAGATCTTCTTAATGGTTGCCCAATGAATTGGTCCAGTCTTTGACATGTGTTGACTTACAATACTCACTACATATGCAAGATCCACCCTTGTACCAACCATTGCATACATAAGTGAGTCTATTGCTGCCTTGTATGGAACATCTTTCATTTCTTCTTCAACTTCAGCAAATTCCTCATGTGTGAACTTCATCAACTTCAAATTTACCTCCAAAGGTGTTGTAATGGACTTGCACTCCTCCATGTTGAACCATTTCAACACTTCTTCAATGTACTTCTTTTGGCTCAATGTAATGATCTTCTTAGTTCGATCTCTCACAAATTCCACTCCTAAGCAATAGTGGAGCTCTCCCAAATCACTCATTTCAAATTCTTTTGCTAACTTTGCCTTCAACCAATCCATCTTTTTCAAAGTATTGGTCAAAATGATCAAATCATCAACATAAAGAATAACAATCAGCAAGAAGGCTTTTGATTACATTACATACATGGAATGATCAGACTCACTCCTCACAAATCCTTTATTCACAAAGAAGGTGTCGATACATTGGTAACATGCCCTTGATGATTGCTTAAGCCTATACAAGGATTTTTTCAACTTACACATAAGGTGTTGTTTTCCTTCTTCAATATATCCTTGAAGTTGATCCATGTAGATATCTTCTTTCAATTTTCCATTCAAGAAAGTCGTCTTCACATCCATTTGGTACATCTTCAAGTCCATTGCTGCCCCAATTGCCACAATGATTCTAATAGAATTTCAATCCGACATCATCAATGTCTTCAACAATTTCGTCCTCCCTCTCGTATCTTGCTCGAGATAGCATGTTTGCTACTAAATTGTCTTTCCCAGTAATATGCTTAAATTCTGGATTTAGTGACTTAATATAAGCAATCCATCTCAACATTGCAATATCTGACGTTGAACAGTTAATAATCATTCCAAGTAATGGCAAGCAATCTGTTTCAATTACTACTACTGCCCCAATCAAATAATCCTTTTCAGCTTTCATAGCCAAAACGACTCCCCAAAGTTCTCTTTTGACTTGCGAATATGCACGCTGACGAATACTTAAAACTTTAGCCCCAAATTGAATTGCAAATCTATTCCCATTTGAATGATCTTGATCCACAGCCCATCCAATGGCAATTGGACTAGCGTCCACAGTAAGAATCACTGGTTTAATGCACTTATAATCAACCTTCCTCAATATTGGAGGTGACATCAATAATTTCTTTAATCTTTGCATTGCCTGAATATGCCTTTCTTCCCATTTAAATTGGTAACCCTTGCGTAACAGTTCATATAATGGATCCGCTATGTGAGCAAAATGAGGGATCCTGATTCGATAAAATATACATGCACCCAAAAACCTGCAAACCTCTGTTAAAGAATCACAATCCTCTTTCATCCTTCTAATTGCATCAACTTTAGTCGGATCTGGTTTTCTTCCGTAAGATCCACATAAATGTCCAACAATTA